GGGTACCCGGGATCAAACTCAGGTCCTTGTGATTGCAAGGTAGGTGGTGGAACCACTGAGCTAAATTCCCAGCCCCAAAAATGTTTACTTTGCTAGTAAAGGTTCGGCCTGCATCAAGGGCTGTACCAAATGACCGACTGTGGGCTGGGTTACAATCTGCCTTTTATAGGAGTTTTACAGTCATGACCTCGTTTTAGCTAGTTCGATAGGACATTCTGGTTCTCTCAGTTCCTATCACAGATGTACAAATCATGGTCACAAGACAGTTTAATTTTAACCTAAATGTAGCATCTTGTTTGTGGTTAGGATGTTTATCTTTAGGTTTCACCTAGTTAGCTATTCTAGCCCACAAGAGTGGGGGTAAGGGTTAGGAAAGCAGGACTGGTGACATTCCTTTCATCGTAACTCTTTTATAGTCATATGATTTATAGAAAGCTTAGGGTTTAGGGTCTAAGTGTATTTTGCTTGTAAAGTGTGGCAATTGTTATCTTAGTTTGGACAACTGGTCTCACTCTGGAGATGCAGCTAAGCAACTCTGGCATCTGTTAATCTTACAACATTTTATTTTGTTTGTTTGTTTGTTTGTTTTTTGAGACAGGGTCTCCCTATGTAGCTGAGACTGACCTGGAACTCACTGAATAGCCCAGGCTCGTCTTGAACTCACAGTGATCCTCCTGCCTCAGCCTCCCGAGTGCTGGGATTACAGGTGCGCGCCACCATGCCCAGCTAATCTTATAACATTTTAAATTGGGGCTTCGTGCCTTCAAACTTTGTAGTTAATGATGAAACCTCTGGTATTGTCCTAAGAAACAAGCAAAGCAAAGCAAATTACAGAAGCAAAAGATGATAGTGGTTATTCTGTGTTTCCTTATCATTTTGTAGGTTTCAGACTATTTACAGAAGTTCTCTTTATCAAAGAGCATTATAGTAAGTCAGGGATAGTAAGTACACACTTAATCCTTGCACTCGGGAGGCTGAAGCAGGAGGATCACAGCAAGTTTGAGGCCAGCCAGGGCTCCACAGCAACAACCGGTCTCAAAACAACAAAAAGCACCATGTTGGATAGACAAATTCACCTGTGGGATGGCATCTGGCACCCATCTGTGTGGACATTTATTGTATGACTCAAGCAGCATTGCAAGCCAGTGGGAAATGAGGTTCTTTTTAATGGAGGGCGATGAGACCACTGCAGTCTCCAAGGGAGTGAAGACACTTGTGCTCTGCTGTACCCTGCTGAAACACTATGAAAATAAAACAACTTCTACAAGGTGATGGAGAAGGATACACCTCTAACTGTAGGGCTCATTCCTGGCACGTGAAGAATGTGCCAGCCCTCTGGGATAGGGTCATGTGACCCAGCATTTCCCAGAGGCCTTTGTGCTCCCCCATCCTGCAACTGTGTCTTCCCTGCCTCCATCCTCCTGTGGTCCTGTTCTCTTATTTCTCCTTAGGAAGTCACCAGTCCGGGGCTTAGGGCCCACCTAATCCAGTATGGGTGCCTCTTTTAATTCGGTTGGATCTGCACAGATGCTATTCCCAGGCAAAGTCACAGCCGGAGGTTCCTGGTGGATATGACTTTTGTACACATATCCTATGATGTGGGAATTCCATTCCAAGTTATATACCTTTGAAATGCCATGTTATAACTGAGCAAGGTGGCCCATGCCTATATTCCAGTGCTCTGGGAAGTTGAGGCAGGAGGATCAACAAATTGAAGCCCAGCAATGACTTAGCAAGAACCTGTCTCAAAATAAAAAATAGAGGATGGGAGGGCCAGGGATTTAGCTCAGTGGTTCTGCCACCTGCCTTGCAAGTGCTAGATCCTGAGTTTGATCTCCAGTACCAAAAAGGAATAAAAATAGAGGCTGGGAGATGTGGCTCACTGGTACAGTACCTGCCTGGCAAGCATGAGGCCCTGCGTTTGATTCCTGTTACTAAAAGTGAAAAAAGAAGAAAAAAGACCAAAAAAAGCCCCTAAAATAAAAAATAGAAAAGAGCTGAGAATGCAGCTCAGTGTGATGGCCCTAGATTCAATCCCCAGGACCACAAAAAGAAAAAAGCGGAGCTGGGTGTGGTGGTACATGCCTGTAATCCCAGCATTTGGGAGGCTGAGACAGGAGGATCTCTGTGAGTTTGAGGTCAGCCTGGGCTACACAGTGAGTTCAGGGCCAGCCTGAACTACAAAGTGAGATCCTACCTCAGAAACGAAAAGAAAAGCCATACATACACACCCAACAACATACATATACTTGTCGTGACAGCCCACAGGGGGCCGGCCACTCAAGGACAGCTGCAGAATGGATCGCAGGACATGGGATGCTTTGGCCACAGAAGGGTGTGGTCACGCCCAGTGACTCAGATTAATCTCAGGCTGAGCATCCAATCCAGATGCAAAATACTAAGTAATTCAATCTATATAAAGTCCCCAAACAAAAGGAAGCTGTATTTAGGGATGCATACTTAACGGAAACATTAAAACAAAAGTCTTTCCCCTGAGTATCGGGTTTGTGGTCACTTTGGAAGTGTGCAGGTGCTACTAGGGACTTTAGGCGGTCTGACATTATAGTCCTTGGCCTGTTGACGTCATAGGACTTTTTTT